ATTGAGTATTGTACAAGTTGTGATTCATATGGCTTGTTCTTGTGATAAATGAATGAAAATAAATGAACAAACTTTTATTATTTCTGTATATAGTTAAATAATAAACAATTATTTTTTACAATCTGCCTCTATTTGTGCGTGGATGCAACAAATAGATAACGTAAAATATAAGTCACCTCATCCATGTGTAGCCAGTTCTCAACAAGAATAATAAAACAAAATAGAACAGTAAAATAATCGAAGAAAGGCAAAGTACATTGCCAGTAGCAACACTGTTCATTTCACCTGTTTTGTGTGTTTTTGATTACACAGTAGGACAGCGGTGAAAGTCTTGTGCTGAAAGATGTTGTATGAGAGTCTGGGATGCAGTAATAGGCATGATAGTCAGTGCTGTCCTGAAAGAACCTGACCTTATTTAAGGCGCTAAAGAGGATTCCCAGAAAATGGTCTATTTTGAGAAGGTACGTCATATAAGTTTGAAAAGTAGGCTAGACATTGTCCACTGCTACCTGCCACCAGAAACTAGTTAAGTATATTTAACACACTTCCACACCATAGTCAGTCTTTGGATAACTGTGTTACTATACTATTTTTCTCTTTTTTCACTTTTGCAATCACCTTCCTTAACCCATAACATGCTTGCTATAAAATGCCAACCATCTTTGTTTTTTGTTTTTGTCTTTTTTCGACCTAATTGTAGCTTGTAGTGAGTTTTCTTAGATGAAACTGAAACCACTTTCGTTTTAGGTGTCTTACCCTCAGTGCACTGTTGAAGGCCTTCGGTCAGAGTGGCCTGAACTTCTGAAAGTATCTTTTCCATGTGGCTAAAGGTCAAGATGTCATCACTCGTCAGCTGCTCCAGTGTTGTGGCTATCAGGCCTTGCCTCAGAGACACTTCCCGCTTTAACAAAGCAGGTTGGGATTGAAGAAGCCCTGTCAGCTCCTCCCACCGCAGCAGCTTCTGCTGTATTCTCTAGGAGAATGAGACATGTTCAACTTTCCCTTTAAACCATCCAGTTCCTCAAATGATGAGGGATGAGATGTCAAAACGATGGTGTGCCAACCAACAGCTTGTGTTGCTTACTTTTAGGTCTGCTTCTTGTGTGCTCACCAGATGATTCTCTACTAATAAAAGAGTTCGGATGAGAGACAGATTCACATCCTGGGCTTCATCTGGAGAGAAAATGCTGGTCTTCCTCAGCAGATGCTGACACAAGTCCTCCACCTGTTTGCTGAAACCTCTGGACTGTAAAAAGACATTCATTTTCCCAATTGAACTCTCACTATAAACAAAGGTTTTCTAATAGACTTAGTATATTATTAGTAGTTGTGTAACTGTTTGTTTTATGAGTTTTTCTCTTCACCGTTTGAAGGCCACGTTCAAGGAGATCTTTCTGAGCTCTCTCAATCTCCTCCAGTGTACAGGGAGCATCATCGCTCTTCTCCCTGGCAGTCTGGCCTGGTGGCAACTGCTTCTTAAGCTCATTTAGTTCCTAAGATAACAAATGACAACATATACTTTCCTGAAAGTCAGTGTTTCAATGCACAGTAAATCAAGAACGCTACAAAGAATGTGTCATGAAAGATACCAACTCACTGTGCAACAAAGAACATATGATGAACACAAAAAGCCATTTGGCTTTACCTTTTCCTGCATTTGAAGAATGTCCTTGCAGAAGTCAGCATCGTTTTTGTCTTTTGGAAACCGGCAGCTGAATATTAGTTTCATCATTTGAAGAAAAATCTATAGAAGCAATAAAAAGAAATAAAGAATAACACACAAAAACAGTTTGAACTTAATACTTACATATATACTGTATATATATATATATATTTTGTGTGTGTGTGTGTGTGTGTTAGCATGTAATAAGTAATAAAACAAAATAATAAAACAAATCCTCACCAGATATTTGTCTTCCTGAAGCTGAGAGCAATGCTGTTGTATATCCTGCAGGGCCAAACAGTAAAGACTGATCCTACCTTCGAAACTGCAGAGATGATAAGAGTATTATCACCGTCAGCAAACTGTTGTTTGTGCATACTTGCTGTAAGGTTAAAGTATATAGTTATGACTTAACGTTTGGAGACCACAGACTCCTACCCTGTTTGTGTCAGTGTGTGAGGGTAGTGAGAGACCCTGGTGAAGCTCTGGTTCTGCAGGCTCCTGGGGACCAGTGAGGAGGAGATAAACTGACTGCTGTCATCGTTGTCTTGCTCTTGGCTCAGAGACTCTCCGTCTGTGGAGGAGGATGACTCCTCATTAGGCATTGCAGGCAACTTGGAGTGCTCATGTAGTGACGGGTTGGATGCTCCGTCTGCTAATGGCTGAAAGATGTAGTGAAAGATTGCAGGGAAACTTTTTTTATACACAGTCTTATCCGGGAGTATAAGTTTGTGTTTGTGACAAGCCATCATACACTGATTACCACACACTATATTCCACCTTAATGAAAGCCAAACACCCTTGGATTGTGGCACATTAGTCTGTTAAATCTACTCGCATTTACAGATTATGTCATTATGTATGCATGGACTTACTCTGTATTTTTGGTTGATGGGATAAACCACCTTTGCTCTGGATGCAAATGCAGCCACATCACTGTTCATGGGTGGCTGCTTCTTCTCCTGGTCAATGAGCAAACAGAATCAAATGGTTAGTGGGAAGTTAATTAGTAAACAAAACGTGTACAACTGTCACTATTGTCATTTCCAGCACTTTAGCATCACTTCACCATCACAGATCTAATCCACCTGGGTAAAGCTAAAATATAATGTACATTAGAGAGAATAATACTTTTTCATTAGTGGTACCACTTGCTGCCTCCTTTCTGCTGTTGCTGACACAGTCACTTTGGTTGTTGTCTAACTCCCCGTCATCAGGCTCAAGCAGCCTCCTTGCATTGTAACCCTAATGAGATGAAACAAGGGAATGTGAAGTCAAAGATGGAATATAATAGATTCACAATAAGGCATCAAGACAGAGACTTAAGTGGGTGGGAGGGAAAAGAGCTGCTGCATTGCGTTTGCTTACTTGTCTCGTCAACAGCAGAGGCTTCATGCAGAAGACATACAAAAGGGCAGCGGCTAACAGTCCCGACAGTCCTCCACACACCGTGGCCCCCGTTAACAGCTCCGTGTATACATACAACGACTCTGCAAAAATTACCGGGACATCGACATGGCATTCCGGTATCTGTTCCTGCCCTGCCATCTCTCTGCGAACTCACCCAACTGTAGGAAAACTAAGTATGTTAGCCATTTGCAGGAGGGGCGACATCAAAACGACAGCCAAAACTCATCTCACCGAGGAAAGTAACTTAGCTCCTGATTTTTTTTTTGTTCACATGTACTTTAAATTTTTTTTCTGGCTGAGTTTACATTTTTTGACATCACCAAGCTACCAATTGCAACAAAAAGAGACCTCTTGCAGCATAAAAATGAAAAAAAAAAAGTTTCTCCAGAACTACAAACTTGGTGTATGTTTTAGCCAATGGGTGGGCAGAGATTTAAGACGAAGTCCCAGCTGGCTGGTTTTAGGGCGGAAAACAGATGCATTTGCCTTCAGTATTAAAGCACAATAATGATCCATGGTAGAAAACGAGTGAAGTTCCCTCAATAATAACATTGACGCAAATACAGACAGAAGTTTTTGAATAAAACCCGGTTTCTTAGTATATTTATAGTTATTTTTTAAGTAGCCACCATTCCAACCATCACACAGGCTCGCCTATGTTCTTTTAATTTGAAAGCTACAACCGGAAACAGACTGCACTTTGTTTATCTTAACGCTCCCTGAGGAGGTGCCCGTTCCTGCAAAGTTTTGGAAATGTTTGGTGGAGTAGCGACGGTGATTATGGACCCTGTATTCGTGTATAAATATTTGAAACGGCGTCTGTAGTTTCTTCTCTAATATTAACATACGACTAAGATGTTGTTGTTCGACAGAGACGCTGCTGCGGTTAATATTTCTCAAGAAAAAGCTGTAGAAATGTTTTCACCGCGGCGGATTTTAACAACATCCAGACAAAATGCAGCCAGTTAGCTAGCGGCTCTCCTTTGTGAGAGCGGCACACCAACTTACTGATGCTTCATGTACACTTTAACGCGGCTAGGGTCACGATACTGTCGTGTATATTGAATATCCAAGCGTCATGTTTGTTCCCCCCTTTATATTCCCGCCGGTGTCATGATGTGACCCGGCGTGAAACGCGGCGTGCCGGTGTGTGGGAGCACAGTGCAGGATGTCAGCCTTGTTGTAACGGTACATCTCAGGACACATCATGGTACACAACCTCACCACCTCCTCCTTTCCCGGAGATACAGGAGGTGAGTATAGTGGTAAAAATCAGTACTCTTTCCATGTCATTAGCACAGAACTAGTGTAACTTTAGTCCCCAGTCTCTCCTCCCCAAAGTGTAGTCTCTGTAGTAGATAAGTTCCTACAGCTACACATCCCATTTCCCAGTTCTGGTGTGTATCCTGAAAATTGCACAGAGATGATCTTATTTTGTCGTAACCTTATTTTCGAAACCAATACATAGACACTGCCACATACATTGTGTAATCAGATGTTTTAGTGTTGTAGAGGTACCCTTGTAAGTCCTGTAGGATGCCACTGGATAAAGCTATTTAAGGTTATTTTTCGATCGTAAACATATTAAATGTGTAATGATTGCCTTCTTTTTCCACTGTCAGAGATTCTCCAGTATCCATGTAATGCAACATGACCCTGGTGGGAGAACAGCAGAGCTGATACTGTTAAGGATGGATGGTTTGTTTTTGTTGTTTGTTCTATGTGAAAAGGAGTTTAATAATTGTACATATATATAACTAATTGATGGCTGAATACTGTCTGGTTATGCACCTCTGACAATGCTGTGTACCAACAGATGATCTCAAGATAGATACAGTTCCTGTTTATTTATTTATTGCCAGTTTCAGCCTCAGTTATTGTACTTTACTGAGGCAGGTCAAACACCCTATTACATCTGACAAGTACAATGGAAATCAAAGGGCCCATGGTGTTTTCTGCAGAGGCCTCCCTGTCTTCTTCAGCTCCGGCTGGTCCATGGGGGCACTCCTTGTACTCATCATTTACCTACATGTCAAACATTGTGCACCCCCGGGTCCGCAGAAGCACACTCACCAGATTCAACCCAGGCCACATTCTGCCTCAGGTGGGTGTCTACGTTATTACTAAAACATTCTTAAGATTGAAATTTTAAGAATGATTAGTTAAAGGAATATGATGTTGGAAATAACTAACTATACAATGCTGTTAATGTTTTTGCAGGTTCAGAGTGTGGCACCTCCGTCTGCATTTGGGGTCAAATTTCACAAGTGTGCACAGGTACATCCACATATTGTTTGAATACAGCTCATTTTACCTATATGCATTTAATTCCAAATATATATATGTTGTACCCAACCATCTTTAGTCTGTAAACAAACATGAAGAATTAACCGTCCAGTGATTAATTCTCCTCTTCAATCACATGGTCACCAGGTGAAGCGTGACACTGATCCCCCTCAGCTGACATTCTTCCTGCTGATTCACAACATGGGCCCAGTCGGCGGTACCAACCTGTCTCAGGTGGCTATCCGGGACTCCCTTTCTGGAATAATCCCACTAAAAACTGAAGGCAGGATGGTGGAAAGAGGCTACCAGACATTTGCCATTGATTCACTGTCTGGTAGGTCTGGGAATGTCAATGTTTAAAAAAAAAAAAAAGAAGATGGTTTTTAACCCAAACAAGTCTGGTTTGAACTATTGTTGAGTTTTTTTCAATTAGCTGTACCCTAATAATAGCATGTTATTGTATTTCATTCTTCAGCTGGCTCTCAGATTATTGTCAATTATACTGCTGACATAAGGAGTCATAAGAGTGAAGTCCTGGACCTTCCAGCTTTTCTCACCTTCTCTAATGCCTCACAGGTATTTTCTGTAACCCCATTTTCCCTCTTTTTTAACTTGAAAAGCAGCTTCTTGAATTGACAACTCTGTAAAAAACAAAATAATACCTGTTTTTAATTTCACAGCACAAATATTTAGCAAAATAAGAATTTTCTTTCTCATTACCTTAAGTTTTGTTTTCTTGACTCCACAGAATGATGTCAGTATGTTTGGTCCGCTAACAGCTAATCTAACACTGAGGGTGAACTCCACTGACAGGGTAAGTTGAGGGCACATACATTATACCTGTACTGTTCCTCTACTGGAAACACACCTGCACCTGTAAGCATCACATGTTTGTTGTTTTCAGTTTGTGATTTGTCATATTCACAGAACAAATTTAATATGAATTCTGATGTCTTTGTTCATTATTTTAGATCTATCCTAACCACGGTGTCCATTTTGCTGGATTTGTTGCTGGGTTCTTTGTCACTTTGGTGCTGCTGTTGCTTGGGTTTCTGGCCATGAACCTGATAGGCCTCAGAACCAGGCTGAGCCTTCTTCAGCAAAGGGTATTGCATACATTAAAAATCGATGTGCTTTGTTCTAGTTAATCGTAATGACAGACTTATCGAACATCATACATTTGTTATTGTGTATCGTTATAAAGGTGTTTTTATAAAAGAGAGGGTGAGAACTGCTTTCTCTAATTAATACCAACCTATTTTGCGAGTTGATTTAGTTCAGGTACATGTTACTATACTCTACGTATATTTTCTTGGCTCAGAGAAAAAGAAAGGATTCAGACCCAGAGTATGCAGACTGCAACATGAGTGAGACAGTTAAAGATGAGGCAACATTTGAAGACAAGATGGTGGACATCATGGTGCTCGAGGATCCCCAGAACATGTACCAGGCTTTGGAGAAGTGAGTAGACCAGTCAAGAGGGAGTTAGATTTTTTTCTATTAGGTTTGATGTCCTTTAATGGAGCAAAAATGACCAAAGGGAGAAATTAGCAAATGTGTAAATGCATTAATGTGTATTCTGAACCATAAACCACAACAGTTTACTCTGGTTTGCATTTTATCCCCATAAGCCTTGAAATGTCTACACTGCTGCGCGCCACCAACAACCTGGAGGCCACCCGCATTCAGATCTACAAGGATGTGATATCCTCCCTGCTGGGCGGCCTAAGGTCCCGGGGCCAGGCCAGCACCCAGGCCCAGCAGAGGCTCCTCAGTGTGCTCCACGGACAGCTGCTAGGCATGGAGGGGCGGCTGAAGGAGGAGCGCGGGGCCCGCATGGCTGCCCTGGCTGGCCAGTGTAACCTGGAGACTCGGGAAGAAATGGAAGCAGAGCACCGCAGGGAAGCAGCTGAGAAAGCCCAGGCCGAGCTGCTGTGCCAACATGCAGACCAACAGGTAACAGTAATGAGTAATTTGTGGGACTAATTGCGTTGTGTATTTTTCTATGATCTCACTTGAACTTTTTGTAATGTTACTAGGAGCTCCTCCAGTGCAGTGTCCTCCTGGAGAAGCTGCACAAAATGAGCCAGAGTCAGCTCCAACGCATCCTGTTGGTCCGACATGAAGAAGCCTCAGCGAAGGTCCAGAGGCAGATAATCGAGTGGCGCCGGGTGGAGCTGCACAAGATCTTCTCTGAGGAGCTGGAGGAGGCCACCAGGATGGGCGAGTTGGAGAAGACCACAGCCAAGAGTCTTCAGCATGATTATTTTACCTGTCAGGTGGACAACCAGAGTTGATTTTCAAACTGTTGACACATGTATAACCATGACCATTTGAATGTCATTCTCTATTAATGCATTTGACATCTTTACCTTTTTAGTAATTTCCATTTGTGGTAAAACTAATCACTAATAATGTGATAATGTGACATTTTTTGTCCAGGATCAGCTAGAAGAGGTTCTGGATGTGGTCCTTGCCAATCAGCGCTATGTTCTGGCTGAACGGCATGCACAGAGGAAGTTCCTGGTGCACAGCCTCCACAGCCTCAACAGCCTGATTTCTGACACCTTCTCCAGCACCTCCAGCAACTTGGACAGCTGGTTCACGCACATCAGGAGGTTAGTAATCATTGTAGGATACACTCTGAGCTTCCAGAGCAATGTAAACATTGTTTCCACATCTTGATAATCTTAAATTTAAAGTGGTTCCATTTTTGAAGTGAAATATATAATACAAATATATATTTGACAACATCTTTAAAAAAAAAAAAAGAATGAATGCACTGTATCTTGAAAACATCAGTGTGTAAGTAATGATACCAACCTCAAAGTGAAACTCTCAAAATATGAGTGTCCATAGTTTCATTAAAAAAAAATAAATACAAGGAAAATACTTCTCTGGCATCTTTTTCTTTTTTACATTATATCTCACTTTGTTAACAATTTAATCTCACTAGTAGCCATAAACATGAACATAAGTAAGCTATACTAGAGCCACGTTTCAACCTGGCATGCTGTCTTCTTCTCCACCAGAGGGAGCACAGTGCCTGCAGAGCAGATAGACCAGCTGCAGGAGAAGGCCCAGAAAGAACTGGTGATGGTGAGGCAGAGACTGGATGAAGCACTGAGCCAAGAGAGAAGAGCCATGCGCTGTGGCCTGATTAAGAAGAGGAGGGAGCTCATCTCTGAAATGGTGAAGAGAACATGCGTAGTTAGGGTCTTATTTGAAACAACAATTAACTAACTAACTGCTATATACTTGTGTATTGATACTGCGAAACCTGTTGCTCATCTCAGTTCTTAGTTAATATAACACTGTTATTCAATCCTGTTCCTACCTATACCAGCTGAGGGTCCACAAGCAGAGACAGAAGGATCTGTCGGGCCTGTCCAAGAGTCTGGAGGGAAGGATAGAAGTAGCCCAGAACCTGCACTGTTGGCAGAACTTACTGACGGCTCACAGCTTGGAGCTAGCTGAGCTCATCAACAACCTGGATGAAGAGGCTACTGCTGATATCCGCAAGGTGCCACTTAAACAGTACACATTCATGACATAATCACTTAAAACCCACACACAAGTAAAGCATTGAGGTTGATTGATTGAGCTTGATCTACCTCTTTAGGTGACCATGCGTGTGATCCAAGGTGCCATAGCAGAGGTCAAAGCCATTCAGCCTTCTGCAACCCAGGCACTGCTGACATCCTTGCCTCCAGGGACGCAGCGCTCTCTGCTGCAGGTAGAACCAGAGCAAGGAGCAGGACAGGCCCAGGGACAAGGAGCGAGCGCTCTTCTGCAGGGCCAGGAGAGGCTCCACCAGGAAGGCAAGGCAGCTCTACGCACCCTGAGCTGCACCAGGGAGGCACTGAGGGAAGCCATGGAGAGAGAGCTGCAGGAGCAGAGGGAGATCAGGGAACACTACAGAGCTTTCTTTGGGTCAGTGATACTGTGTAATGACAAAAGTCTCATCAAATCTCATTTCAGGGAATTTCTACATGCCTTATTCCGCATTATTAGATGAAAGTGCTCCAACACAGCCATGTAAAGTCTCATGGTCAAACTGTTTATCCCTCATTCTTCGTTTTCCCTTTCTGTCCCAGGTGTTTGTGTTCGTCTCAGCTGACTCTGTCTGAAGATGACAGGCTGAGGATGAAACTGGAGTTCCAGAAGTGTCTGTCTGTGATGGACCGCTGCCTGGTGCTGCCCCACGCTGCCTCCAGAACCAAACTCCACACTTCCCTGGCATCTTGGAGAAAGGACAGTGAGAAACAGATGGTAAACATATAATCACACAATACTGAATTCAGGTTTTATTCTCTTAAAGCCCCAATATGTATAATTAGATACTTTCTGACTGTGGTGACAGAAAAGACACTTTCTCTTACCTTTTTCAGAGCTTTAGAAACTTCAGCTGCAAGTGCTCTGAATGGGAGACATTTATCAAATCATGCGTCATTTCATCATTGCACTTAACATGGTGCTGGGAAATAACCCCAGACGTTTGTGCATGCTTGTTTTATAATTAAGCCTTAGATCTTTTTCATTAAAAGCAGTTTGACAACCCAATTCGAGTCAGTATTCACCTAATGCTGTAAATTGTACATCTAACCTGGTGATTAATTAAAATATTAATGTTTACATTAATAATGGACTCCAAAGCAGTTAAAAAAAAGTAATGCAATTTTAATTGAACATGAACAACAATTTAGATATGCATCTCAAGAAACAATAGGTGAGTAATGAGCGTTACTATCGTATCCTGGTGCACCAGCTACAGTGTGTACCAGGAGGTACACACGGGTGCTTCTTCTATCGGCTTCTTCTTAAGCACATCTTATGTATGGATTTGCTTTTGTCGAGCTCTTCACTGTCTAGGTTATAAATACAAAATGCAACCACACATTTACCTTTAGACCTGTGCCTTCAGTGGAGTCTGCCATGTTTTTGTCTCTCGTGTGACCAGATCTGATTGTGTGAGAAGGGGGGTCACACAGAACTAACAGGGCTACAGCTTCACACAGGAGACTGTAAAACGCATATATTAAAAGATCAATTTAGATTTTATAAATTGGTAATGGATTATTCAATTAAAGATCAATTTGATCTGAGAATTAATTTTTTTTCAACCCATTCCTAGTCTTTAAACCCTACTTCTTTTACTTTGTTTAAATCTGCTCTTCATACAGTTATGAAGGTAATCCAGACAGGAACCCATGTGAATTAAACTACAGGAGATAATGGTGCATTTAATGTTTTCTCATGAATAAGAATTGGAGAATGGCAACCATCAGTGCAAACCACACTGTGATCAGCCTCAATTGTGTGGCCGCTGGATGAGTATTCAGAAATAATAAAGGGCTCCACAGAGCGGTTTCATTTGTAATCGCATCATAGTGCTGCGGTTGGAGTAATTTCCCAACCACCTTATGGATATTGTGGTTTATTTTGCAGACAAATATGCAGTCGAAGGGGAAAACCAGCAAGGCCAGACAGAAAACAGACACATCTGACCTGCTGCTTTTCCAGAAATGGCTTGAGGACAGGATCCAACTGTTTGAGAAGGAGAAGGAGATGGAGAGCAGTGTCATGAACAAGGTGAAGGAGAGGTGGCAAAGAGGACAGAGGAGCTGTTTTTTCGCTCCAATGACATAAACTGTCGGTCATTTTTTAAGTGCAGGGAGTGTTTTTAATTTGACAGCACTCATCTGTTCTAATTTTGGCAGGTGTTAGAGGAGATGCAGAGGGAGAGAGAGGATGATCTTCGCTCTCAGGCGGATAGCCTGGCGATTCAGATGGCTACCATCCACTACCAGAAGGCTGAGAGGAGGACCAAAGTGTTGGAGACCTCCAGAGCCATGCTCACCCTGCACGGCCTGCTCATTCAACAGCTCAGAGAGAGAAAGAGCCTGGAGAGACAAGACATGGCCCAGAGTATACAGAGCCACTGCTTGGTAGGCAAAGCTTTACTCATTGTTAACCCATGTGTTGTACCACTACATGGCTGGAAGGCTGTTCGTAGGCTTTTGAGACATATCATACAGTTCAAACCAGAGGTGTGGACTTGATTCACGCTCAGGTTTGATTCAAGAATTTAATTTAGTTGAAAATAATTATATTGAGCCTTTTGACTTGAAAATACTTAAAATTCTTAACACCAAAGCCCAAATATTTAAACCTATGTTATTTAAAAAGTGTGCCACAAATCGGTTTATTACCTCAATCAACTAACATTAGCAAGAGGACAATTAATTCCCCACATCCCCTTTTGCATCTACTGTAGAGACCCCTCCTTAGTTTTTCTGTACTGCAGGCAATGATCAAAACAGACGAGAGTGTTGTGGCTTCCCTCCCTGACTTGTGCTTTGATGTTCACCCGGAACAAGACGACAAGTAGTCTAAATCAGGTGGTTATGTGCCTCAGTCTGCTTACATTACAGCAGCAAAATAGTAAAGTAACATAATGTTAACATTACTCCCTTCATTGACAGTGAATGATTTCACCTGGGTTGCGATCCAGGTGGTGTGTTTTGAGCCTTGGCCCTAAACACAGTCAGTGCATCAAAGATTGATATGCGGCTGGGTAGACAGTTAGTAGTCTAATCTTGAAATCAATAAACAATCAGAAATGTCTAATGTTAGCTCGCTATCTGTTATTGATGGATTGTCAACAGTAGCCTAATGTCCCTGCTGCTCCTAAAAAACATTGATATACGTTGATGTTACTGTACACACACACACACACACACACACACACACACACACATAGAGAGAGTTGTTGATAATGTGAGTAATGAAGGGTAGTTTCATTTGGCATTTGTGTAGGGATGTTAGCAGTGATTGCGGTATTCAGATCCTTTACTTCTGCATAAATAAAAATATGCAAGTATAATCAGGACATGTATTTGAAGTGTTAGAAATATAAGTACTCAATGCAGAATAATGATCCCTGTCACTGTTAGAAATATATATTATGATTAGATTATTATTACTCATGCATTAATGTAAAAGTGGGATTTCACTGCTGTAGAAAGTGGAGCTCATTTTGAACTATTTTGCATATTTGTATGTATTTGTACTGCAACAAATGATCATTGTTGTTATTATTAAAATAACCTGCTAATTATTTACTCCATTAATTGATTGATTGTTTAGTTTGTAAAAATGCTGAAAATAGTGCGAAATGCCATTAAAATTGCCCAGAGCTCAAAGTGACACCTTAACATGACTTGATTTGTCCAACCAATGGTCCAAACCTCAAAATGATTAAAATACGTTAAAATTACTCAAATAATTAAAGGGATAATCAGCAAACAATGAACTTGCTCTAACTGAGAAATGTACATTTTATAAAATATTCATGATTTGTGTAAGTAGAAAATATAATTACCCTGCTGTTAAAATGGCATTATGTTCAAAGAGCGCTAATGACTTGTTTAGGACTCGAAACTCAAAGTTTTGGACTTCGGACTTGACTTGTGACTTTTAAACTAGACTTGAGACTTGGTCTCAACTCAAACTAATGTGTGATTTAATCTCCATCCTCATTTTTCCCCTGAGACATTAGCTTTCTCACTAAACTTTGTAGACTTTTTATGGGGATAATCTGACTCTTACTACAGGGCCTAGAGGAAGCAGAGCAACAGCTTCAGAAGGAGAGGACAGAGTTGGACAGCCTGGAGGTGTCTCAGGCCAGAGTCGAGTCAAATAAAGCATGCAGACAGGACTCTGATGACAGGGAGGAGGACAGTGAGGAAGGACGAGCGTTTCAGCTGCAGCAGGATTGCAGGATGACGTCTATCCTCCAGGAGGCTCTCTACAAGTGTGATCAGGTCATTGCACTGTTGGCTGAGAGGTGAGCTGTCGTGTCAGTGCTACCTCAGAGGTAATGAGGAATTTTGTGGGTTGACGCAGGCCATTAAATTTTAGTGTTGAAACTCTGGTATTTTCAGGTTGCAAGAAATGACAGCCAAGAATCAAGTCATGGAAGATTTAAAAGAACAAATGGAGCTCAAGAGACTTTATGCAAACTGCGACCAGGTCAGGCTGTATTCAAAGCTTTTTTTTCCCCAGTAATATCTTGAATACAAACATAGTGATGGCATGGAAAAATGGAGGGGAATTCCTCACTTCTGTGTGCATGCCTGTGGAAGTAGAGGAAATCTGTGGCTCCATGCCTTTCTCTTCATTCCAGGATCTGGAGTTTGCATCTCACTTGGTGAAGCAGAGTCAGGTGTCTGCAGAGGTTCTCCTGGAGGCCCTGCGTCTCCTCCTCCCCACCCTGCCTGAAAGCGAACTCCTTTCCATCACTGACGCACTCTGCCCCAAACAGCACCCTGTTTCATCGTCGGCAGAACAGGAACAGACGGGGTAAGAGCCAGGTTCAGGATTTATTCTCTGGCAAACATTCTTGTAAAAGTGTAATTTACATAGTGTGGGGTCACAGTAGGGAAATGTGCGCTAGTCCAGTATCCAAATATTGCTCTTTTACTTAAAATGGGGCAGATGGGATATAATTTGTTTAGTTAACATTATTATCTGTTTGGCTCTTCTAACTGGCAAAACAAGTCTTAAGCTTGGTTCCCAAATAATATGCATGAGCCACCAGAAGCTTTTGTATGCAATAGTCCTCTGCTTCATGTTCTCTTTTTCTTTTTTCCCTCTTTTTTTTTATTGGAAAAAAAACAATAAAACAACTTGAATACAGTGAAAAGGTTTGTGCCCCGAGTGTGCAGCCAGAGTCTCAACAATTCAAATTCTGTGCTTTTAAGAATGTAGTTTTCTAAGTGAAGTCACTGATTAAATACATTTCCACAGCAGCTGGCTGAAGCACAGCCTTCTCCAGGCATTGTCTTCAATTTAAATAACAAATATTGTCTGAACACAAGGGCCATTTCCCTGAGCCAAGATGGAGAGGTAAATGATTTTACTCATCATTTAATTTCCCTTTCTTCCTGATACTCTGGAACACTCGCGTCTTGCCCCTGCTGAGTTTGGATTAGTTTGCTGATGAATAATGTCTCATGCATGAAGTCTCTTTGGATCTGAGCCGTCTGGCCAAAGGACAAGGGAATGAAAATGCTCAGTTTGGAAGAATATGCAAGACATGTGTTTTCCTTTTTCTTTTTCAGCACTATTGTTTCTGCTTATTTTTGTTTGCGGAGTAGCATTTACCCATTCTTTAAGACTCTCAAATGACTGTATGGCTATAAATGAAGTGATCTCTGACAACACAAAGACATGTCAGACAGCACTTTATGTGAATGGCTCAACTGAAAGAGAAAATACACGGTCACAGAAACCGAAAGGAGACAGAAAATTGACCACGTACCTGCACTGAACAGGCTGCATTGTGAAAGTGGTATATGTAAGTTGCTGTTTATTTTTTTACTTATTTGAACTGAATTTTTGAAAAATGCAAACATGCGGCCATTTCTGCCTGTTTGTGGACAAAAATCAACCTGGTCTTATTAGTGTACTTTGCTAATTTGGACACAAAAGTGAATATATCAAGTTTGAGTTATATCAAAAAACATCCATCTTCAAACTTTCCATCGCTTCTTTCATCCACTGCTGTTCTTTGCCATGCTGCTCCATCGTATTCATTTTGTCCTGGTTTGTTGCCTCCCAATTTGATCAGTCACTTTACTTCGTCTAAAATGTATAGGTGAGTGTGCGCAGAAGTAGTGCGTGTTGTATTTCATCCATGTGTAGCTAATCAAACATCGGGAGCTCCTGAAATACCCTGAATGCAATGCAATCACACATATTACCAAGCCCTGATGACTAAAATTACTTTGACTTTTGTGCTCACTGTGCTCAGTAGACTGGTACTGTGTGTTACAGGTACTAAAAAGCATAAGCATGTCATATGAACCAAATGGTGCATATGATTGACTGTTACTCTCCACTATCCATTGAACATGCTTTTTAAGCAACACACGGTTCTACAGTTTGTAGGCAATCTTAAATATTAACATTTATCTCACTAAAATAATTACCTTGTGTGAATTTGAAGTCGTCAGTATTTTTGAATTAATTTGACAACTCAAAATGCAGCACTCTATTAATGCAAGATAAATGTGTTTAACTTTCTTTGACTTTAATGAAAAACGTGTGATAGCTAGGGGATCACTGTCCATTTTTTTTTTTTAATCAAACCTTTTTTAATCAAAGCTAGCATTGTGTGCATAGACTGTATCACAGTTACCAGCCTCATAATATGTTCATGACTTTATGACCAGGTGTGCTCTGGGGTGTAATCGACTTCTTCCTGTCAGACTGAGGGAAGACGTGGTGCATAAAAATATGCGAAATATGCCGAGCTGCACTGTGGACAGAGAGAGGTAAGCTCAACACATTTCTGTATTTTGCTACCAGCTGCCATACAGTGGCTTGATGGTGAGACTAATTTGTAGTTCACTGGTCACCAAGTATCATAGACAGATCCGTTTATTGAAGTGAAATAAGCCTGTCATCAGAGGAGTTACATGGCTGGGCAGCAGTGACCACATGCATGAGGCAACCCTCTATTCCCACTAACAACAGCTCCTTTGTCCTCCAAATCCCACAGAGTCCAGGAAAAGAGGCAGAGTCTGATGGAAAAACTGCTCCCCAGATCCCGTCTTCTGCTTCCAAGAGATGTTGAACCACGGCTGCCTGAAGAGAAAGGAAGGGAGGACAGTTTCACCAAAGCACAACAGCCTATTTATAAATCAACCGTAGCTGAAGACACGGTAATACAGCATCAGAGTGACTCTGCAGAAGGAAAGGTTGGGGCCACAGTGAATGAAACATTGCACAGCTGTTCAGGGGATTACATGACTTCAGCCTCTGCCAGCTCTGCACCGGGCAGCCCTGCAGCTGGAGGAAGGTTGTTTGTGTTTCGCGATCCACCTGAATCATGTGACAGTGTGTCTGTCCCCAAGAGAAAAAGGAAGAGGAATTTCCTCAATCTGAAGAAAGGCTCAGTGGCCCCAGCAAACCTATCTTGAGATTTACAGACTTTGTGTTTTGCAAGGTTTTTTTATGATGAAGATGATGATACTAAAATACAAAATAAACCAGTAGTTTCGCTGTGTAGCAAAAAAATAGCACATTTTCTTGTATGTAGCATCTGGCTTTATTTTTGAGTAAAGGCAGCTGACTTTAACTGTTTCCAGTTATTTCTTCTCATGACTTCAGATTGTTAATAGGCAGAATGATTTACAAGGTTATACATAAGTGGTTGACTCACTGGTTATTCTTCTTCCTCGCTCATGTCTTTAACTGGCATCTTTTACATAGTGGAAAAGTCCTCAGAGCTACAGGCTCAGATCTTATAGGCTACACGTCACCTTTCAGTTTACTGGGAAAAGAAGAGACTAAAAATAAACCCTTCTGTTCTTAAACATCCATGCCAAAACTGCAGGTATTGGTTCATTGCTTTGATGGTTTGAGGTGAGGATTGTACACCTCCCTACACTCAAGATACACAACTATGTTTTAAAAAAAAAATCCAAATCCAACAGTTAAAATTGATAAGAAAAAAAAAAGTATTTTTACTTTGCCAAACTAGCCTGGACTCCAACTTTATGAACATCGTAACTCCCCCTGAATTATGCCTTGTTTCTTTTGACATGTACAGTGTTTGACTCCCATCGGTAATTCATAGCTGACATAAATATCCCGCTTGTAGCCGCAGAACTGGCTTGTGAATGTGGGGGGAAAGCTGCACAAAGTTTGGCTGTTATCAGCAGCAGAAGATCAGTCATCCCTGGCATTTGGAGCTCGCATGAACAGATTTTCTCTTCAAAACACAGCAGACCCCAGATGTTTTCCTCATACTTGCTGCGCGTCCACGTCATCGTCCATGTTTTTTTTTTTCTACGCCATCCTTAAAACTGCAGCAAGTCCTCCTCTTTACTATTTGAAACAGCGTTGGTTGTACAAGCAGCTGGAGGCAAATACCGATCAGCGGCAGCGCAGTGTTACATCCCGACATGAGGCTGGGACTGGCCACTGTGGTGTGTTTCTTCAGCTTTGTGTGGTTGTCGGAGTGCGCGCCTCCGACCTGCTACTCCAGAGCGCTCGGCCTGAGCAAAGAAGTCATGGCTCTGCTGGATAAAATACACACTTATCACCGCACGGTAAGCACTATGACGATGATTGCATAGTCACATTGTGCAGACAAGGCTGTGTATGACTGGTGCTCAGTGCTGTGTATTCTAATGATGATCTTTGACGTTGCAGAAAACGTGCGCTCTGATCTTCCCTACCATCTTCCTTGACGTGCATGTAAGTTGAAAACAATGGAGTAATGCATGGCATATGGGGACACAGGGGTGCAGGAAGTGGTTTTAGGGGGGTTTCCATGAAATTAGGATAACCACGTTCAAAGTTAGATATTAAACGCAAAGGGAGTTGATTTATTAATTCAGTTCAAACTTGATAAAATAAATGTTAATCAGGATAGTTTTTTATGTCTTTGATCAAATCTTATCTGTTGGGGATTAATGACTTGTTTGTATGATGAATGTCTGTGAAATGAGAATATGAGGTACAAAAAAATGAGTTTACTTGACTACATGAGTGTAATCTGTACAGCAAAATCTTTGATAATCTGAAAACAAGAATTCACCAGAATATTTACGACTACTGTCAAGTTGACACTGGGATTAATTTTGAAAGTCCCCCCCCCCCTCTCTAGAACTCATGTGTCACCACCAAGCTCCGTGACTTTCTCTACGTGGTGCTGAACCATCCCGACCAGCACTGCAGAGAGCGTCCCAGAATAGTGCTGCTCAAACGTAAAATCCAAAACTTGTACTCCATCATCACCAGAATTTGTTATCGGGTGAGAAGATCTCAAAAGTCTGCAGTTTTTTCAATGTCAACGTTCTTGTTTTCATGCATGAGTGACTTGACCACATGTCTTTGTTTTTCTTTGGCAGGACCTGGTGTTTTTCACAGATGACTGTGAGGCCATTGATACTGGCCACACCAGACCTCACTATGCAGAGGACAGGCTTCAGCTTCTGCAAGAGGACAGATGAGCAACACACAGAGCAGACTAGACATACACTGGTCTATCATATTCATAAAAACACATATCAGCAATATGTAGGAATGCAGCTACAAATACATGTATAATATGTACCACAGCCAATACTGTGTATTAGATGCATCATATGGCAGGCCACACAGTGCTGTTACATACCTTACCTAGTTGGCTCTGTGTTAGCTGCAGACTCATGTTAGTGGACATGTGTGGTTACATTACAGCAAGGAGGGCAGAACTTTCCACAGGAAATTTGCTGAATGCCAACCATGCCGATGAAAACCTTGAAATAATAAAGCAATAAGAGATGCTTGTGAGCCGGGCTTTAACCGCTGCTTACTTAGCAGGGCTGATCAAAGCTCTGTGTGTCATTAAGACAAATATGTTGTGTTGCTATAACCCTTGGTCGGACTAATGTGTCTTAAAGGAGCACTATACAGCATTTTGTAAACATGAGTTGAACATGGTGGTTAAAAACGTTATGTAAGAAATATATGTCATAAGCATTTCCTCGGTTGTACAGTATGTTCCCTCAGAAAACTCTCACATAGGAGTGTTTTTACTTGTCGCTGCTGCTTAGAGTGAAGCTCAGTAAAACTCATATTTTTATGGCCTTAAACACATGCATATGAACTAATAGAACCCCCCCCCATGTCATAGACATTATTAGAATCTTGTGCCATTATGTATACTTAATGATAATCTCTATACAGTATGTCTTATATTATTAATAAAACTCCTCTTAATGTATGTAGGTCTATGTGTTTTTATTTAGTTGTTGATTTATTCTCTAAAATAATTTTTAAGTTTCTGCCAGTATGAACTCTTATTGTCAGTCCTGGACTAAAATACAACTGTATTTCAAGTAACCATTGTTTAAGTCACAGTACAAAAGCATTTCCTCCAAAAAAAACAACTACTGGTGGTTATGTTTGGAATATGTGATTGATGAACTGTGAGCGAACAATGTTGCTTTGCGTAGATCATGGTTTCCACTTTCTTTTACATTTCGCTGACAAAAATAACTCAAAACATTAACTGTCCCAATGAGGAAATATAGCTCTGTGCTTTTTGGACAAATACAGTAAATAATGTTGCTGTTGCCATTGTTTTGCATGCAGTTTTGTGATTTGGGAACAATCAGCTAACAGGGAACACTCTGCTTTTATTTATGGCCTCTGCTGCTCTCTGTTGGAAAGACTGTGTAACCTGCATACAGACATGTGGTTCTGCATTGACAAAAATAGCTCTGATTTCTCAGTTTTTCCTCCTGTTTCTTGCCAGTTGATATAGTATTCATTCATCTCACGACTTTTATACCTAACGTGTGCTGCATTCTATTCAACCCTTTGGGTTACTGCATAATTAGATCTGTTCATATGAGACCATGACATAAAAGTTAAAGGGGCTATTCGTAGGTTTTGCTATTGCTACATAGACGGCGTATGTCACCAGTTTTGCCAAGAGCTTCAGCCATCATTGCATTTACAATACAAGAGGTTATACCATAATATGCCCTCTGAGTAGCAATATCTCTTCAGGGCAGACTGGATGCTACAGTGATGAGACTAACTTCAGAGGAAACACGAGCGCTGCTTTCCACCGCTGGAGACAAGTAAGTAAAGCGAGTAAAGAAATGAAGTTTGATGCTTAACTTGCAATGTTTGTTTTTTTTTTTTTTCTAGACTGGTAAGTAAACAGCTGTTAATGCTAATGTTGGCTATGTATGTACTATGTAATAGTAAAAACTTAACAATAGCTCCTTAAGTTGAGAATGGACACTTGCCTTACTGGCCACCTAAACCTCTGCCTTACACTCATGTCATTGCAGTGCGCATACCTGAAAATTAAATTGTAGAGACATGAATTTACCTGTAATGGGTAATCTGTCCAGTTGAACACTCAGCCAGCTTTACTTTTGACAGATGAAGCGATAGTTACTGTCATGTGGTAAAGCTAAGTGCTGTTGCCAGCAGGGACTTGTTTGACAACTCTCCCTGTTCATCCATTGAAAGACCCCCTCGACATGACTTGGCTGCCAAGCTGCAATATGTTTAATGAAAGAAACAATCATTGGAGTTTTAAAATGTGTTTGTGATTTCTGCCTTTCTGACAAACAAAGACATGTTTTAACATGTCACAGTAGGAAACACACTGGTTTAAATAATAAAGTCAATTTAGCTGTTTCAGTTTCAGGGTCTTGGTATTGTTCATGCTGGCTCACTGTCACACTGCCATGGCTTACTTGAATTGTTATTGTTATTGGTAACACCTGTGTCTTTCCTGCTGTGACGGATCAAAATGTGTGATGTGAAAGAGCCTATTGTGCAGAATTGGTCAAACTAAAATACTGTTGGGCTGTACTGTTGAGTTCCACTGAAATCCTTTCTCGTGTCTTGAGGTCTTGATGTTCCAGTTAAGTGGGAGCTGCGATGCTCCTGGGTCGACAGCATTAGTCACTTCTGAAGGCTGATCAGCAAGCAGCGTCATCTATTCACTGTCGCTGTGCTCTTTTTCGAGGTTCATCTGCAGAGGGAGTATGGCAGTGTGTCGATCTGCCACAAGGTGGTGCTGGTTGTCATAGTTTCATATTGCCACATCAGATGAGGATAGTTTTCCCTCATTTTAAACGGACAGCTGTTTAATAAGTCTCTCTCTCAGAATTGATGTTTTATAATATTTTCTGTCGGAATTCAACCACTGCTGGTTCTCTCTATCACTTTAAAGCATTGCAGCATGTGGTCCTCTGGGTTAAACTGGGCTTTATTCAAACATGCCACCGCATGATCATATGTTGATCATATGTTATATGATACATTTTCTGCTAATGTTCATGATTTTAGTTTCTATTTCTACTTTTAATATGATAATAGGGATTAAGGCCTGAGCTCAACCTTTGTGAAATCTGTCATAGTAAAATCTGCAGCCGTGCTGTTGAAAAGGGCCCAACTATTTACTGTTGAAAGTGATGAGAACCGAGGGTTCAACACAAAATATACTTTAATAAACGGTTGAGCTAGGACACATGGATTCGCAACGATTTTCGAAGATATGATAATGCAGAATATGAATTGTCAAACCCAGAGGTTTACCCCACA